AGAGCATGAGAGAGAGCGCGCCTGAGCACACAAGCATAGGGAGGGGCAGAAAGAGAGGGAGAAGCTGAGCAGGGAGCCTGAAGCAGGCTTGGTCCCAGGACCCTGGGATCATGACCTGAGCTGGAGGCAGATGCTTAAATGACTGAGCCACCCAGCATTATCAACTTTTCAAACAATGGTCACAGACTGTATAAATGAAAGAGCACGAATGAAGATACAGTAAAGCAGTGTTAGTTATAAGTCTCACACATAGAAACAAAGTGACTAAAGATCAAATTCCGGGCCCCTGGCTTAGTTGATAATCCATGTGACGCTTGATCTCAGGGTTGTAAATTCCAGCCCCATGTTGGGTGAAGAGACTACTTAAAAAATAAAATCTTTTGGGGCATCTGGGTGGCTTAGTCAGTTGGGCTTTTGCTTTTGGCTCAGGTCATGATCTCAGGGTTGTGGGGTCGAGCCCCATGTGGGGCTCTGCACTCAGTGTGGAGTCGGCTTGGGGTTCTCTCTCTGCCCCTACCCCTGCTCGCTCACTCTCTCTCTCTTAAAATAAATAAGTAACATCTTAAAAAAAAAGAGAGAGAATCTCAAGCCGACTCCCCGCTCAGCGAGGCAGGTAACATGGGGCTCCATCTCAAGGCCCTGGGATCATGACCTGACCTGAAATCAGGAGTTGGATGTACAACTGACTGAACCACTCAGGTGCCCATCTTTTCTTTTCTTTAAATAAAATCTTTTTTAAAAATGTCAAATTCAAGTTTTTAGTGAACTTATAAGGCACTTTTGCTGAACTGAGTGTTTCAAATATGAGTTTTTGTTTTGACATTGCCACTAATTTTGTGATGTAACAATTCAACCTTTGATAATTTAAGGTCAGCCCCAGCCATAAACATCTGATACACAACTGAATTTGTCTGTGACTCATGTCTTTGGACCTCAGTTTTGTTATCTGTAAAATGAGAAATGCTAACCTAATAACCTAAACAAACCCCTTTTTTTATTTATTATTATTTTTTTAAGATTTTATTTATTAATTTGACAGAGAGAGACACAGCGAGAGAGGAAACACAAGCTGGGGGAGTGGGAGAGGGAGAAGCAGGCTTCCTGAGGAGCAGGGAGCCGGATGCGAGGCTCGAGCCCAGGACCCTGAGATCATGACCTGAGCCGAAAGCGGACGCGCAACGACTGAGCCACCCAGACGCCCCTAAACAAACTCCTTTAATAGAACTTTATTTTTTATTTTTTTAAGGATTTTATTTATTTATTTGACACAGAGTGAGAGAGCACAAGCTGGGGGAGCAGGAGAGGGAGAGGAAGAAGCAGGCTCCCCATTGAGCAGAGTCTGATGTGGGGCTCGATCCCAGGACCCTGAGATCATAACCTGAGCTGAAAACAGCGGCTTAACCGGCTGAGCCACCCAGGTGCCCCTTAATAAAACTTTAGAAAATGAATGCTCAAAGAAACAAGAATCCCATACAGAAGTCTCTTAGGAAGAAAAAGTTTCCTTGGAGGAAAGCTGCATACTATATAGTGCATTCATTTAATTATTAACAAAACACATTACCATATTAAATACCCTGGGAAGTAAAGAAACCAGTTCAACTTTATTTTACACAGTGTTACCCAAATTTATTTGGAACTGGGATAGTTTTTTCAGAACTATTTGAATTTCCATGAAATGAATTTTCTAAGATCCACAGTTTGGACTATTCATGTGAATATTCTTAGGTATTAGAGGTGGGGCAATCAAAGGGAAAAGTACACCCTTATGAGATGTTCTCTGGTGGTCTTCGTGCCTATCGTGGTTTGGAGCTTCAAATTTAGACAACAGAGACTTCTAGAAGATCATAGTCCTTAATCACAGTCATTCATTATCGTCTTCAAGATAATGAGTAAAATTTTTGTCTCTCAGACTAAATTCAGACCTTTTTTCCTAATGAAAATATAGAATCTGGCAATCAATCACTTCAGATACAAAAAGTCAACTCAAACAAACATATGAGGAAAAATTCTGACCTCCAGGATCTATTTCAAACATATCAAATTAGGTCTTACTAGTATTTGCAAAATATATCTGCCAAGGTGAAGATTATGTCATGATTTATCTTTAGTTCTAATTTTGCCACTAAGTCATTAGGTAACCTGGGATAAATTAATTCCCTTAAGGCTGAACTGAGACATATGGGTGTTATTTCAAAATGATCTTCTGTAGTCCTAGGCAGTTACTTTAATCATTTCAGAAATTTGGTTATTTTTTCTTTTTCTTCAAAGTATGTCACAAGTATTATATGTTGATTTTATTACAGCATTTCTTGTCCTCCAGTATAATTAGTAGATAGACTTTAAATAATTTGCAATCATTTCAAAGCAGGTAATTATCACTTTGTTTTATTGTGAAGTATGGCATATGAAATAGAAAATGTATATGTAAAGAACAATGATAAAATTAATCTTCATAATTTAGGTCCGAAAGATATTTTTGAAGCATTTATTCAGTGTCTTTTTGGAGAGAGAGAGTACAGCATGGAAAATGGGTGAAGGTGGTCCATGAGCTGCAGGATCCCTCTTGCAAACCTCACTTAGCAAGTCATATATGTGACACACCTTCCTTGAAGGACTATTATTTTTTGAGTAAAATTCTTTTTTGCAGAGGAATTTGTCCCAAATGAAAGAACAGAACAAGGCCATGGCTAGGAAAAACAAACACACACACACAAAATTCTTTTTTGAAGGCACCTGCTGCCTCCCCAGGGACTTAGCAAAATGTTCCTTTTGACCACATTCAGAACTCTCCCTTAGAGACCTGTTAAATATGATATTCTTCATAGCATTAGATTTCCAGTCATGTTTTTACAGCTCTCATACATTGGGCCTAGGTATGCTCTTTAATTCACCTCCCTTCCACATATCTACATATGGGATATCCCCATATAAAAACTGTCTCCCATTAGACCACTGGCTCTCAGGAAAGGCATCAAATGTCTTTCCCAACACTGTAAGATTTCCAAGAATAGACTTTATTTTCCTCCCAAAGAAACGACATTGGTTTTGCAGCAATAACAGGCCCTATAATGAAGGTGTTTCCCAAGCAACTTTTGGTAGGTGAAATCTGTCATTACGGAAAAGATCTTAAATCCTATTGGTTCAGGTCCCATTCTTCAGCATGAAGTTTCCCATTAACCAGGGCCGTATCATCCCATCTCTGTACCGGAAGGAAGAGAAATTGTGGAAGAATTAGTCATTCATCCCTGTGTTCCTACACCACTTTGGACTTTTCTGTTTCAACACTTACTACATGCTATTTTAGTTAATTATTTAATAGCTTCTATCCTCCTTTACAATTGGATACTCTCCTTGGGGATAATCTTGTTTTAGTCTTCTTTGTAAGTGACCCCAAACCTAAAACAATGCCTACCTCTCACTGGGTACTTAGGAATTTAGTAAATGAAAAGAGAGCCGATATTTGGACAGTTTGCTTCTATTTGAATCTTTGAGAAAATATTCAATAGTAAGCATGTATTTGAATCTGAGAAAAGATCCACTAGTAAGCAACATATGATATAGTGCCCTCACCAGCTGGATGACCTTGTATTCTGTTTCTTTAGATCTGTAAATGATATGGTTGGATTAGATCAGGCATTATTAACCAGGGGTCAGTGGGCTCCAGGGTGTTTCGACTCTCCAAACTCATGCAAAGTTAAACACAAAGGACCAGATAACTTCAGAGAGATCTTACTCCATTACAGGTACTGGGACTTCAATAGCTAGCAAAAGCGTGGAAAACAAACATGTGCCTGTGGTGTCTAGCTATACACACTCATGGACACTTTCGGGCTTGTCGCTGATGCCAGTCCAGAGCCCCTTATGCTTTGGCCTCAAAAGCTAAGAACATGGGGACAGATTCCGATTAATCTTTTCAGCGTTAACTATCTAAATCCCCAGCCTCTGGCCGCTCCTAATCGACCACTAAGCAGTTGACGGTGGGGTGAGTATTTCACACGTGCCCGACACTGGCTAGAAAGGGGCGCTGATACTGGAGATGGTTCTGGCCCTGGGGAGGTTGGGAATCTGATCACCAAGCAAGAGGAGTATTTAAAGATTCACCGGCGGCCCGACTGCCCACAGCCGCATGGAGGGATGCAGACAGCTGAGCAGACCAGAAAACCGACTCAGAAACGGGCTTGGGCAGTGTGTCTGGCGGACGTGGTAGAGAACCCCCAAGTGCTTCTAGAGGTTACCCTGCCCCCGATCCCGCACCGGCCTCTGCCGACTCCCAGAAAGCCGAGCGGCCGCGAAGCCCGGACGTCCGGGAGTTTCCCGAAGTCGGTGGCTCTGAAATGGCCTTCTGGAGTCTAACTTGGGTCGGGGAAGAGGGTAAGGCGAGGGGCGGGGTCATGAGCCGCGAAAGGGAAGGCCGCTTGGAGACAGCCGGTCCCTCCAAGGACCTAGAGATTAAAGCCCTTCGCGAGGCTCCCCTCGAGGCGTCCGCCTTCGGCAATCTCCGGGGGAGTTTCGGCTCTTTCCGGCAGTTCCAGCCCGGGCCCTCCACTCCCCGAGCGCGCTGTTCCCCCTCCTCACGCCGCCCCGCTCTTTCTGGGCCTGGGCTGTTCTGCACATGGGCACGAGCTCTTGTCTCACCTGTCCCCACTCCCACCTAGTTTGTTCCCGACCCACTCCTCCAATCCCTACTCTTCCTCGTTATTCCCAATTCCTGGCGACGCCCGAGCTCCCTCAACTCAGGCGCGCAACCCGGCGGGCGGTGAGAGGCGCGAGGGACGGGGTCACGAGAGGAGCTGTAACCCGACGACTGGAGCCCTCCTCCCGCCCCGCGTCTCTCCACAGATCCCCGGTGCGCGGGCCGCCCAGCGCCCCGGCCTTCGCGCGCAGGTTGGCTGCAACAGCCTCGAGCTCGGCGCGCCGGGTTCGCGCCGGCGCGAGCACGCGCCCTGTGCGCTGGCTGGCTGGCGCGCACGCGCCCGAGCGGGCTCCGGGGCGGGGCGAACAGCGCGAGCCCCGGCGAGGTCGGCGTGGTTCCGCTGGCACTCCGGCCCCCAGCCGCCGCTGCGATCCCCAGCCCGCCGCCCGGCCGAAGCGGGGAAAGGGGCGGTGGGGGCGGGGCGGCGTCCGGCTCTGGGAGAGCTGGGGGAGGAGCGCGGCGGCGACGGCGGCCGCTCTAGAAGAGGAGGAGAAGGAGGCGGAGGAGCTCCTTTCCTCTTAGACCCTGGAGCGCCCGGGACGCAGAGCCCGGAACTGGGGGGACGCGGCGACTGCGGGGGCCCTGGGTAGGTGAGGCTGAGGGTACTGGGTGGAGGGGTTGGTGGGGGACAAGGGGGACACAAAGGTGCAAGAGAGCGGGCTGAGGGAGGGCACGGGGGAGGGGGTAGTTGTTGGGGGTTGGGGTGTGGAGAGGAGGGCGACTTGAGCCCTTTGGGATCTGGAGTACCCAGATGGTGAAAGGCTTCGAGGGTCAGTGGGGCGGACCGAAACACACGGGTCCGAGTTGGGGGGGTTTCCAGAGGCACAGGCCGGGGAAACAATGGAGTAAGGGGGGACACTGGTGTGAGCGTGTGTGGGGTATTGGATTTTGAGAAACAACGAGAGATCGAAAGGAATGAAAGAATGGGTCATTTGGGATGAGAAGTACAATGAATTGAGAATGCAGTGGGGATGCGTAAGGTCATCTGCGTGGGTGTCCGAGGTCCTCAGGATTTGGGGGCAAAGTGGGAATTGAAAAATAAAGAGAAAGGCATTTTTGGAATGGGGAGGGGAGGACGGAGAGAAAATAAGGGAAAGGGTAGCAGAGAAATAAAATAGATGTGGTTTGGGCTTGAATTAAAGCGGAAGGGTAGATCTTGTTTGAGAGTATAGGGTAGGTGGACTACAGTGGCATCTTCTAATTTATCCAGGATGATTGGGTTCTTTTGGAAGGTGGATCTTTCTCAGGTTGGTCCCTCTGCTGAGCAGTACAAGCTGTTCTTTTAATAATTCGGTTATCATTTATAGTCCGTTTCATTGATGAAGCATGCCTGTAGTATTTATTTCTCCTATGATCATCAGGTTACTGTATGTAATTTACCTGTGGTTAATGAAGCAGGGGAGAACATATCACCAACAGTAGGCATCTTGCTTTGAGTTAGGTCAGTGATAATGCAGAGTTTAGGGTGTTTGGGGGGAGAACCAAGAGTTTGTTTTCATTTAGACTAAAAGGTGATGAATAGCCTTGATAAAATCGAAGTTATCTATACTTTGTTAGAATTGTAGTTTCTCACTGAGAAATGTTCATGTACCATCTGCTACTGGTTTTATGCTCCTGGGAGAGTTTGGGTTCTGCCTCAAGAAATTCTTGATGCTGATACCAAATTATCAGGTTGCTTTATACCTTCCAGTTTGAATAAAGGTGATTTGAAAATACTGTGGGAAAGTATTTCTGAGGTTATGATCTTTGCATTGATCTCCTTGATACTTGGATTTCCAGACCAAATATTGAGTGGTTCTAGACACAAGATTGCCGACTTTGAAATTGTAGTTACCATTAAGTGTTCATAAATAGTGTTAATCTTTTTATTTATTGGGTATTAAGTTTTGCTGACTCACCTAAGATTTCTGGGAATTTATCCATTTATATTTCCGGCTAGGTCTTGGATGGTAGCATTAGACTACTTTATAAAGATCCAAATGTAATGATCTAAAGTGTCACTTTTCGTATATCTTACAAAAACTGAACAAAGCAAGGAGTGTCTTCACTAGTGATGATGTGGCTCTTTATTGACCTACAGTGGACTAGGCAAGGTGCTAAGTTTGTTTTGCATGCATTATCTCATTTAACTTAATCCTCACAGTTCTCTCCTATTTTATAATTAAGAGTTTAAATAATTTACTAGGGTCACAGAGGTAGTAACTGAAGCCACATTCGGACCCAGCTCTGTTGGATGCCTTCTTTAAATCTTCACTGCCTGGTTGTTGTACCTGCTGTATCCCTCCTCCTAATCTTGGTTGTAGTACAGGCATCATGAATTGGTTGAAACTTGGGTCTGATATGATAATGGTGATTTATTTATTTATTTAGTAAAGATTTTATTTATTTGAGAGAGAGGAGGGGGAGAGGGAGCATGAGCAGGTGGAGGGGCAGAGGGAGAAGTAGGCTCCCCGCTCAGTGGGGATCCCGACTCCTGGCTGGATCCCAGGACCCTGGGATCATGACCTGAGCTGAAGGCAGATGCTTAACGCACTGAGCCACCCAGGCGCCCTGATAATGGTGATTTAGATGAATATTGGGTTAGTGGGCTACATCTGTAGAGTTTATAAATGTTTAGTGCTCCTGTGATTTAACACATCTTCTGGGGTCCGGATAGTAGAGCTAATCTTGCTAAAGGTTTGATCTGTGAACACTTAATTTTCCGTTTAGTCTAGTGTACTGCTGAGTACTGTGCCTAGGTGGCGCTCTTCCTTGTAGAAGTCAAGGCAGCCAGTTGTGGAGTCAGAACCAATTAACTCTGAAAACAATCGAAAACTGCTGAGAGCTCAAGTGCCCTCCCAAGCACCTGTTGAGTCCACAGTTGGTACGGGCATTATCTCTAAATATAGACAGGATCCTCTTAGAAACCAGGAGTGAAACAAGTAGAACTGAGAGAAACAGCTGGGGCCTGAGGGAGGAGCCATAGGTTGCTGGCCAAAACATCAGCATAGCGCTGGGGGGTTTAATCCAGGAGTGGCAAAGGGCCTCAGATACTAGTGCATGGCAGGAGGGGAGGGAATTTTTATTTGTTGAGCATTTATGTATTCTAGGCACTGAACTCAGTGTTTTATATATATTGCTTCTTAAGATCTTCAAACAACCCTTACAAGGTAGATGTAAGCATTATCCCTATTTTTCAGATGAAGCTCAGAAAGGTTAGGTAACTTGTACAAATCACTTAATAAAAGCAGTGAAGGAAGTTTGTATATATTATTATTGCTGCTTGCTGTTTCCCATTATAGAGCTACAATATTAAACACGGGAACTTTAAGTCAGTCTTTAGGATCCACTCTGCTGCTTGTTAGTACAACTGATTATTTCAATATTGTTATTTCCATTGGAGACTGGAAGGAAGACCTTTGTTTTTTCTTTTTTTTTTTAACAGTTCTTTTTTTTTTTTTTTTTAAGATTTTATTTATTTATTTGAGAGAGAGAGAATGAGAGACAGAGAGCAGGAGAGGGAGGAGGGTCAGAGGGAGAAGCAGACTCCCTGCCGAGCAGGGAGCCCGATGCGGGACTCGATCCCGGGACTCCAGGATCATGACCTGAGCCGAAGGCAGTCGCTTAACCAACTGAGCCACCCAGGCGCCCGACCTTTGTTTTTTCTGATTTAATTGTTGGGAAGGGGAGCCCATTCATTATTTAGTAAATGACCTCCTGTAGAATAGAATTCATCTTCCTCAGTTGCTTGGTGTAAATCTGTAGCAACATGAAAATGGCATGTCCATCCCTCCTATTCTGAGGTCTTTACTTTCAGGTAAGTCATCTAGGCTCTGGAGGATGACGTGAAGCATGCCTGTTACAGACTTTTTTTTTTAAAAGATTTTATTTATTTATTTGAGAGAGAGAATGAGATAGAGAGAGCATGAGAGAGGGGAGGGTCAGAGGGAGAAGCAGACTCCCTGCTGAGCAGGGAGCCCGATGTGGGACTCGATCCTGGGACTCCAGGATCATGACCTGAGCCGAAGGCAGTCGCTTAACCAACTGAGCCACCCAGGCGCCCTGCCTGTTACAGACTCTTACCACTTTTCTTGATATATTTTTGCCACAAAGGTTTGACCATCATTCTTGCTTGGTTACTTTTAAAAAGTTGTGGTAAAATATAGATAACGTAAGTTTACCATTTAAACCATTAAGTACAGTGGTATTAAGTACATTCACATTGTTATACAGCCATCACCACCATCCATCTCCAGAACATTTTAATCTTCCCAAACTGAAACTGTCAATAACTCCCCATTCCTCTCTTCCCTCAGCCATTCCACTGTCTCTATGAAATGACTACTCTAGGAATCTCATATAAGTAGAATAATAGTATTTGACCATTTGTATCGGGCTTATTTCACTTAGCATGATGTCTTTAAGGTTCATCAATATTTTAGCTTGTGTCAGAATTTCATGCCTTTTTTAGGACCGCATAATATTCCATTGTAAGGGTATACCACATTTTGTTTATCCATTTAGACAGTTGGGTCGTTTCTACCTTTTGGCTGTTGTGAATAATGCTGCTGGGAACATTGATGTACAAGTATCTGTTTGAGTCCTTGCTTTCAGTTTTTTTGAATATATACTAAGAAGTGGGATTTCTGGGTCATATGGTAATTCTGTTTAATTTTTGAGGAAGTGTTGTTACATTTATTTATTTATTTAAAAGATTTTATTTATTTATTTGACAGAGAGAGACACAGTGAGAGAGGGAACACAAGCAGGGGGAGTGGGAGAGAGAGAAGCAGGCTTCCCGCTGAGCAGGGAGCCCGATATGGGGCTGGATCCCAGGACCCTGAGATCATGACCTGAGCTGAAAGCAGACGCTTAATGTCTGAGGCACCTAGGCACCCTGAAGTGTTGTTACTTTTAAAGATTTATTTATTTATTTTAGAGAGAGAGAGAGAGCACAAGTGGAGGGGAGGGATAGAGGGAGAGAATTTTCAAGCAGACATCTGCTGAGTGGGGAGCCTGACTCAGGGCTCCAACTCACAACCCTGAGATCATTCATTACCTGAGCCAAAACCAAGAGTTGCACGCTTAACCGACTGAATCACCCAGGTGTGCCCTGTGAGGAATTGTTACTTTTAAGTGGTGGTTTATTTGTGTTCACCTGAAAGTAGCACTTGGCCTTATGTTTGAGGGGTGATGTTTCCTGTACTGACTTTTTCTGTACTGTTCGTAGGACACTTGTACTGGAAGTGATTCAAAAGGAAATGATTTACCTAGTTTTCATGGCTCTCTCTTAGCTTCTGCCTATTTATATTTATGTATCATGACATCTGGCAAGCATATTAAAATACATTTCAACTTAGCAGTAAAGTACTTTTGAAAATCTTTCAGACAATTCAGCTGATGAAGAAAATGGGAGTATCTGTTCTAAAGTATGAAATATATCCAATGTGGAAGGAACCATTTGTTAAATATAGATCTTTCTAGTCATACCTGTAAATGTGGATAATCATCTTAAAAACATTATCTGTATGTGTATTTGAAAAATGTTGTCAGTAGTATAGAGCATTTTCAGTTCACTTTGCTGCCTTTGAAATCCAGGGTGCTTTT